AACAAAGGCAGCAGCGCCGTCGCCAGACATTTACAGCAACACAGAAAAATGAGAATTCTCGGCAGTGCCAGCAGTAAGGCAACAACGGAATAGTTCGCGTACTACCACGCCAGCAACTTCAGAACAAAGCCAGCACCGCCAGCAACTTCCAAGCACAGCAGTAGCTGCAGCAGCAACACCAGCAACAACAACGGCAACATCATACAATAACTATGTAGTCAGTACCTGCATGAACAAACGTTGCAGCAGCGGTAGAAGCAACAGCAACATAAGAGCAGCAAGTTGCATAGCGGAATCGTCCTCCTTGTTAGATGGAGCACCCAGCAACTCAAACCCACACCCTAAACAACTCGTAAACTCAGATACCCAGATATCCCTGAACCCGCTCTTTCTCCATATGTATATATATATATGTATTTTTTCTGTATGTATGTATACACATATGTATACACGTGTATATATATACACACATTATATACATAATATGTGTATATATATATATACATATATATATACATATACATACATACATACACACATACATATGTATACACACGCTAGCACGCCATCCCTGAGCAGGATGCGAGTTTCGTCCATGCACTCGGTACCGTCGTCGACTTGTCACTCGAGGCATTCGATGGAGTCCGCGATGAATGTGCTGGTTACAGATGTGCCTGGGTTCTAGAGTACTTAGAGTTTAGGGTTTTTAGAGTACTAGATGCTTTCTTACTTTTTGTTGACCTGTCCCTTCAAGGAACCATAAGTAAGGACATACAAGCTTGCACGTTTTTCTCCCTGGCCATTTCAATCCCCAGGTAATGGTGAAAGAAGACTTCATCACGTTTTAGTGAGCTGAAAGTTCGGGGTTCTGGCAGAGCACAGCTTATGTTAATGCGGATGCTGGAAGCCCGCAGGTGTACCCTAAACCGTAAACTGCTTAATTACACTCCAGAGTCCAGCAGTTTGGTTTTGGGCGTGGAGTGCTCCTTGCTTTCACGAGCTCTCCCTCAAGATGTAAAGTCTTTATAGGCGGGGTTTTTCTCAGTATTCACACTGCAGTTTGCTTCAGATCCCCTTGACTCCGTAGATTTCGTTCCGAAGGGAGCTCATCCCGTAATGGTATTGAGATGTGTGGTTTTACAATGAAGCAGGTCTGTATGCATCTATACATAGGTCTGTGCGCAGCGGCGGACATTGAGCAGGTATGCTCAACTCATGCACTAGTCCCAGTCCTTGGCGGTGCAAGCTATGTTTATAGCCCAACAAGCGTTCAGGCGATCCCGATGACCGCTTTACAGCTAAGCTTCCTTCACGACCTTCCTGCATCCTCCACAGACTAGAATGGCCCTCTTCCCCTCGAACATGGATCACATCATTACTCTGTATGATCAACATGTAGATGTTTGATCTTGACGATCATTGCTGCTTTGGGTCGTACTGAGGTTGAGGCTGATATAACAATGAGGAATGGATATGTGTAGTCTTCTCCTGGTCGTTATTGGGATGTTATCATGACCAGAAGCATGTCTCTCTCCAGTTCGACGGCATCCTGATTGGTAGGATGTGAAGATGTCATCGCCAGCATCATGCTCATCATGCTCTTCAGTGCACAGACATCACCAAGATGGTGTTCATTGCTTGTTCACACAAGTAGAGCACCTTCGAACACAAGTAGAGCCGCTTTGAGAGGTATCCGCTGATTGGGGTTTAAGCACTACAAGCAAAACCCTAAACCCTAAGCCGCCATCGTCTTCATGCAAGGGGTCATTCAGCGAGAGCCAGCCGACCCCAAAACTTTCGACATCGACCTGCCAAGCAGGGGAAGTACGTTTGTTTAGATGTGGGAGCTGTTATTTCTCAAAAGTAGAGGCCGTTGATTTTTAGTGCCGTATCATGTACAAGCATCCCACTACTGACTTTGGGTCTCGGGTCCCTGGTTCTTTGGAACTCCCATGTGTGTCCTTTTTTGCGCTCGCCACAGCGCAAGTCCGGCGTCTGCGATCTCAGAGATCCCATCAGACCTGGGCTTAGAGCTCGAATAACTGCCGGTCAAGTAGTTTTCATTATAGTGGCCTCACACGAATCTAGCATGATTTACGCCCACACTCCGTTCTTCGGATTATGGCAACGCAATACAAAAGCTGAAGCTCCCAAACCTGCAAAACTATCCCTAAGCAGTCAAGTACCGAATTATGAGGGCTCCAGAGGATATTATATATCATTCAACAATTTAAGGCTTTAAGGAACGAAACAAATATGTATGTATGTACATATATATATACATAGATATGCATGTGACATGCATGTGCGTGTATATATACATATATATATATATATATATATATATATATACTCGCAGTTTCCATCCTACTGTACTCTCGTGCATCAGAATGAAGAACTGACTCTGCCAAAGACACAGATAAGCACCACAAACCGTTCACTCACAGCCCTCTTTTTGGGCGAAAAACTTCACCCTAAGCCATGAGTCTGCACCCCCGAGCCTCTGCAATCCCCCAAGGCCAGTTATAAAGTTTCAAGAATTCCAGCGATCCCGGACGTGGTCACGGTAATCCGTTTAGGGCTTAGCCTTTTGAAGGCTTAAATACACCCTAAGACTCCGGCCACACAAACCCCAAGCCCTAAAGCGTGAAGAGCCCCAGCAGAGGGGACTGTGGGATTGCTGTTGCTCCAGACGCCTGGAATGAGCCATGGTATTGAGCGTGGCACTATCAATCACCGCGACAACGCCAATAATCATGGTAAGCATTCGAATACCATCACCGACCCCTAAACCCCGACTACCCCGGCCCCCGTGCCGAAAGAGCCGAAAGCATGACAACCGAAGATGCCAAGAGGATGCTTTAAAGAAGCGCACTTTTCAAGCCGACCACCGAGCTGGCCGAGCAGCAAAACCCAAGTGCTTTCTGCACCATAACCTAGGGGTGTACGGATTTTGAACACTAAGCCCCAACACCCTACAGCGTAAATCCTAAGCTCTAACCCGGTTCGAAGCGGGTGTTTAGGTTTTGGGGTCTTCTGGCCCTCGGTTTCTTTGGGCCTGCCGCATGGGCTTGGTATTTCTGTGCTTAGTTCTTCATGTTTGTTTAGGGTGTCATTGTTTGGGCTTTCATGCTATCGGACATCTTGGTTTCAGGGTTTTAGGGGATAGCTGTTTTTGTTTGAGGAGGTTTGGGCGTCAGTTTATCTGGATCTACGGCAATTTGGCTCTCGGGCGTAGGATTTCGCTGGAGGCTGCTGTATATATGGCGTGCCAGGTTTAGTTGATGCCAGGACTTTGGGTTCATCCGGGCAGTATGGGAACATCCCGCTCAACGTTGACCGCACCCTCAAGACACTCGTCGCGTCACGCGTGATTTCGAAGCCCGCTCCCTTCCCACACTTTTCGTGCTGCCCGTTCCTTCTAGGTTTTGTGGATAGAGTGAGTTACGGCCTCGTAGTTCAGGGTGTTCTTGCCTGTTGCTCCCGAAACTTTAAAGCATAATATAGTAATATACCGCCAAGCCCTATTCCAATTATTAAGGCCGTATGATATTGATTGTGGCATGAGTCCTCCACTGCAGTCCCCTTGGCTGTGACCGAACGCAGCGGATGCCTTGGTGGAAGATACCCCGTTAGGGTTTAAGGTTTAGGGGTTAGGCTTCAGGGTTTAAGGTTTAGGGTTTAGGGGTTCAGGGTTTAGGGGTTTAGGGGTTTATGGTTTAGATACCCCCTCCTATTGTTGCTTGCAATTACGAATCTGCCCATGCTCCTCCTGAGGTCCATCGCCTCGCGGCGGACGGCCGAAAGCAGTTGAGTTGGGTTTTGGTGGTTTACGGTTGACATCTTTGAGGCTGAGCGGAGTTCTAATTTATTGCAGAAGGGGCCGAGGGTGTGAGTAAGCCCTAGGCCCATTACCCGCGAGGATTAGCCACAGGGAGCTGCAGGTTCAGGCCGGGTAGCGCTTCAGTGTTCATTGACACTACTTAAAGGGCTATGGGACTTAGCAACTAGGGTTATAAATAAGGTAACTATACTTATAATTACTTACAACACCAAATAAAGGTACCTATAACCCTACTTACTAAGTCCCATGATCCTCCAAGCACTGTGACTTCTTCAGAGCTGGCCTGCTGAAAAAGTCCGTGGAAGCGCGCGCACGAACATGTTCGCCATGCAGAGCAAACAGTGCTTCTCTTGCTCTAATTTTTCATAGCTTAGATTGACTTCGGAGCCCCCAAACCCTTAAAACCGGCCCAGGAGATCTATCCCCATGTTATCTATTCCTTAACCCTTAGCCGCCTTAACCTTATAAACACAACTCCAAATATTCCTTACTCCTATGCCCTATAACCCTAACTCTGTTTGGGGAGCCGATTGGCATGACCTCTACAGGGAGTTGCTTCAGCCTCAGCCAAGCTTGAGCTGTGACCATGATCCCGAATCTCCGACACCTGAAAAGATTCATAGACTGGTGTTCTCAGAAAGTGCTATAGTTTATAGGACTTAGGGTTTAGGCATTATAGGATTCTACTATAGGGTTTATCGAGGTTGCATGAGGACAAAAGGCCTCAGACCAGGTCCCGACAAAGCTTTACACGCCTGTCACCCCAATACTGTCAGCTGCAAATGCCGCTCAATCCTTACCACGATAACATCCGAGCCTGAAAATCTAGAAACAGGATGAGTCTCATCTTTCTTTTTAGAGCTATAGTAATTATGCCACCGACTCCTGTTCCACTTGTTTGTACCACAGACACAGAGTCCCAGAGACCCCAAACACTAAACCCCCAGGCACAGCAGCAAGAAGCGAGCGACCCTAATCAGCAGCAGCCCAATGCCCAACGCAACATCCTCAGCCAAGCTCGGGGTGAAAACCTCACACCGCTAACCAAAACTGCATCTCCACCGACATCAGACTTAATTACTAGCAGTATCGGTGCAGGGTTTAATGTTTACTGTTTCTCAGCGACTATAAAAGTCGACCCACGCCCTGAAGCTGCATGTCCAACGACATGGATGGCTTCTTGCGTCCGCGCTATTTGCTGAGATTCAGCAGCCGAGCAAAAGAGGCCCGCTTTGGTTTGCTCGAGGGTTGAACGATCTCCCGAGGAGGTCCTCGGTCCACCGAAACTATCTTTAGGGTTTAGGGTTTAGGGTTTAGGGTTAAGCCTGGCACCGAGATGCGAAGGCGGGGCAAGGTCGAAAGGGCCCGATGACTAGGTCTTTGGCTTTGGAATTGTCGTCACCCTGAGGGTCCGTGTACCCAGATAGTATATACTCTAGTCCCACTGTACCTATATAATGTATCAAAAACATGAGTACATGGACCCCTAGAATAATGGATGTCAGCATTTGGGATTTTTTTTCTAATGATTCTTTTGCTACTTGGACCGGGACCCTAATGAGCAGCTGCTGTTCCAGGGACCCGAATATGGTACCCTAAATGGTAGGACCCAATATAAGGACCCTATAATAAGGTACCCCTCATTTTTGGAAACCCTAAACCCTAAACCCTTTATAGAACCCTTATAGATCCCTTAAAAGGTACCCCTCATGTTCGCAGACTCCCATATGCGTCTTAGTCGGCTGCTTGTCATAAGAGATTGGGGATCTGGAGCTGTTGGCCAAGGCACCTGGGTTTAGGGTTTACCGGGACCCGAAGGAACCTACAAGTTTAGGGCTCCTTAAGATGACTTCTTTATTAATGATTCCTGAAAAAGGTAGGTTATTTGGGGTTAAGTGGGGTTAAGGTAGGGTTTAAAAAGTTTAGGAATCAGACATGTTCCTCGAGAGTCTCAGGCAATGCTTCCGTCGTTTTCGGTGGTTGGGCTTCAGATTCGACCAAGCCACCGTTGCTTTCTGTTCCGAGCTTTAAGCACTTGTAAAGCGAACTTTTCTATGCTGCTATGCTGTTATATAGGGAAAAGAATACGGACAGCCGACGGCCCATCGCCGGGTGCTTTCAGGGCAGAACTTAATCTAGAAGGAGTCAGAACGATTCTTAATTGCTTACATGTTTGGGGTATTCTGAGCCTGCCTTTAACCCTCAGGTTGACACTAAGCCCAACTCAATCCCCCAAGCCCCGATCTCGTTCAAGCGATGAACCCAGCCATAAACCGTCATCAACCCTATGCAAGCGCGAACTTCCTGGCCAGGATCTCAAGCAACATGCCAGAGCCTCAAGAAGCGTAGCCCGGGATAGGGTCTCTCTCTGCTTGCTCTACTTGGAGGAGTATATCATTGGCTTGTTTAACTGCACTCGGTGTTTTGGTTCCCGGCTTTTCGTTGGTTCCTAGACCCCCCAACCACCCTCTAATGTACACCAAACACCCACTATTAATTAAGTGTCATAAGGACTGTTTTAGAGGGCCCTTGGGGGTCCTGGTTATGTTGCACATGACGTCATCAGTCTTGACAAACCTGTCGGAGGTTGCCCTGACCGCCCACTTCTGTAATGTAGGGGCCGTACGTTTGTAATAGGGTTTGGGGGTTCCTACTATAACTGAGTGTAGTATACCCCCAAGCCCTCTTGGAATTGTTAAATGGCCCTACATTCTATCACTATAGACCTTATTTGTACGCACAGACACACACGCAAGCGCGCGTATGCACCAGAGTACCCATACTATCGACATCCATGTACGCATGTGTCTGTATATGCAGGTACACCTACAGTACATCGCATCCGCAGGCTCTCGTCGAGTTATTCCCACTCCGCTTAGGGACCAACCACACAGCCCTGAGCCCCAAAGTTTCAAATGCGAGCAACTCCGAGTGAGCTCCACAGGAATCCCGAACACATCCACCCTTGAACTGAAGCTCTGAATCCTGAACTGCGCCAGGCAAGGCAATGCACAGGAAGGTGTAAGAGAAAATGCTACACCTGCCAGAACACAAATCCCGAACTAATTCCTAGCAAGATTCCACGCTAAACCTAAACCTAAACTTAAAACCCTACTATAATCTCAAAACACGACAACACCATGCCCTTAGGTGCGAGCTCAGTTGGCGGCAGCCGGCTTCCAGGTCGATTTGGATGGCCTGAAGACAGAGGCCCGAACCGCAAAATGGCAACATGGTGCCTCAATAGTGACGGGATGACCCTAGTCAAAATTAGGGGGTTTGGGGTTGCATAAATGGACCGACCCCAAAATGGTAGCACAGGGGGCTTGAATAGCTAGTATCAGAATGGCCTTCGTCGAATTATGAAGGCGCACGGTTAAGGGGGAGCTTTCCGCTCTGTCTTTTTAGGGCTTTAGGGTTGCGTAAACAGAAGCCGTACTAAACGGCCCTGATTGGTAACAGTATGACCTTCATCGTCCCTGCTAGAACTTTTAATGAAATGCCCCCGAACCCTCTAATTATTAAATATGAAGGCCCCTTTAGCCTACAACCTTATTCTAGCTCCTTTTACGGTTAAAAGCTGGGTCCTACAAGGAACCGCTACCCCGAAGCCCTTTTTACTTATTCAGGCCCCTATAGCATAGAACATCGAAGAATCCTTACAAGTTTGTGTATAGGAACACTTTAACAGGAACCCTCAAAGCCGGGAATCCTAAGCTTTGGGGTTTTGAGTTTCGGCGGTTTAGAGTTCAGCTCAGTGCCTAGACATTTCTAGGTGGTTCCGGCTGGACTAGGGGGCTAAACCCTGAACCCCAAACCCTTCGCCACAAACCCCAAACGCTACACTCCTCCAAACCCTAAACCCTTGAACCCTATATCCCTAAACCTTCAACCCCTAAACCTCCCCTGAACCCTAAGCCTCCCGTAAACCCCTAAACCCCTAACCCTTCAACTTCCCCTAAACCCTAAGACTCCCCTAAACCCTCAACCCTAAACCTCCCCTAAACCCTAAGACTCCCCTAAACCCCTAACCCTTCAACCTCCCCTAGAGCCTAAACCCCTAAACCTCCCCTAAACCCCTAAACCCTAGACAGGCCTTTCAGCCCCTGGTTCGGAGATTCGAGGCTCGAGGATTTTGCGGTTACGGCCGGAGACCAGGCACAAGACACGTTTAGGCTTTAGGGTTCCTTATATTACCTCCTAAAACCGCTGAGTTCCAAAACTTCAAGCTTCTTACGATAATGGAACCCTCTTAAACCCTAACTGTTTTGGGCATATGCGCTCAGCAGACAAACCTATTCTAAAAAGCAAGTCCCTTTCGTTAAAGTCATTGACACTGACAAGCAGCTGGGACTCCAAACGCCGAACAGCCCATCATCTGCACTAGAGGCTTGAGCCTACCCTAAGACCTTAGTTCCTATGTACACTGAGAAGAAGGATAAGTACATGATCTGTACACCCTTGAGTTGAACAGGACTGGGTTACAGTAAAGACAGCTCTATAGAGCTCATTCTAAGAACCTCGGCAGGTCCAAGTACCCAGATTTATGTATTTAGAGCCTAAGTGTCGGCCCTCACCTCCCATCGGGGCAATAGTGCTGTTCGAAGCGATGCTGGTCAAACTTACTATGGTTTGCTTTGCTGGATATTCAATTGGAACATATCATTCTGGCCACTCAACCAATGTGCCATGATACGGAATACACTCCAAATGATGCAGGTCATCGACGTGCCGTCATTTCTGGTTGCCTCACAGCTGCAGCAGGTCTCTGCTAGATTTGCACAAAGATGCCATCATCTTTTCCAGGTTCACCCCCAAATCGTAGTGCCAAGATCCTATACTGTTGCGTTTTTGGTTTGGCGATGAAAGGAGACTCAGGGGTGCTCGTGCTAAAGTTCACAAGCTCAATGACTAGGGTCGCAGAGGCCCTTTTTCCCTTTGTGTGGTCTTGGGTCTTTTATACATCTACTCAATACCCAGAGTCCTTTCTATTCCCGGGCGTACTGGAGATCCGAGATGAAGTCTCAAGATTTCGGGTTGCCGACAGGTTTGGTCCCGGCCCAGCCTGAGACGAATACAGCGAGACTCAGACTCCTCGCAGCCCGATTCCTACAGCTGATAGGTTAGGTGCACATGGGGTTGCCTCTAGTATATACAGATATACCTATATTTGTATATGTTGATATTTACATACGGTGATTTTATGTATGTCTAAAATATGTAAAAAACTTTGGTATACATATATATATATATATATATATGTATACATATATATATATATAGAAGTTCGCTGACAAAGTCTGTCACTCAGTCAAGTCTTTCACGACGTCTCCACAAGTTTGCATCCACCTCGATTGGCCTATATACTTCCTCCATGTCAAAGGTTCAGTTCACTTATCCCCCAAACCCTAAACCCAAACCCTCAATCGTTTCAGTTTCACCACTCTTCTCCTGCCTTGTTTGAGTAAGTTTGAGGTCAGTGCTCCACGGGAGCTCTTGGAGCGTGAAGCCGTGCACCAGGGCTACGTCAAGGCGTGACGAAGCCTAGGGTGTAGGGTTTCGGATCAAAGCTGCGTTTGGTTTTGGGGTGTCGGCGAGGCATGAGGGAACGAGGTATGCGTACGACTTGGGATGCAAACACAACCAGGAGTCGAATCTGGTTTTCGGTAAAGACTTCGACCGGACACGACCCTATTCAATTCCATCCTTACGTTTCGTGACGCGCGTGCAGGCACCTTCTTCCGTGGAGTCTACGGCACTCACCGAATCCCCAAACCCCAAACCCGAAACCCTTTAAACCGTTCGTTCTGGATGAGTGTTGGAGGTGCACGTCTTATCTGAACCCTGAAACATTTACTTCTTCGGGTTAATTTCCTGATATAAGTTTGTAAGCCGGAAACCACAAACCCTCAATTTCTGATTCCCTGAACTCAAAAGCCCCAAATACTCGACCCAACAACCGCCTAGAGCTAAACCCTAAACCGAAGAAGACTTGCTTGCATTCAGGCGCATCTCGCTTTGCAGCCGTCCGAGGCTCAGTCTTTCATACAGGGCTCTGTGATAGTATACAATATGGGGGGCCTTAACAATTCGTTACCCATACTATGTATTGTTTGGGGGGTTCCTTATTATAACTAAAGTATAATTTGCACCGAAAATCCAAGTCTAATTATTCAGGGCCCTGAATTAATCATAAGATTAGTTTTGGGTTTAGGGCTGAGGGCTCCTCGATATACCCTAAACACTATTCCAATTGTATGAAGGCTCCTCTATTAAGGTCTTTGGCGAGGGTTCGAGCAATCCATAGGAATGGAGGGGGGGGAGCGACATTACCAAAACAGTGTAACTTGTGTTCCTGCACACTCTACGTCTCATCGGTCTCATCTTCGTGTATTTCTGTACGGACGTGCATGTATAACTGTCTGTCTGTATGTATGTATCTATGTCAGGAACTATGTATATGTGTATGTAACACCGTATGCGTGTTGTATGTAAGTATGTCAATATGTGTGTGTATGAAGCTCCAAGTTGTGCTTGCTCTGCTCAGTCGTTTGCATAGACGATGGTGGAGTCATCGTTTGACGATGCGCTGCCGGTCGTTCCCAAACATGTTCGCCTTTTGCTCTAGGTATGCTGCGTACACATTGCACTAGCATAGTAATTGTTGATGGTTATTTCAGCTTTTACTGCTTGTAGTTGTGATAGCTATTATGGTTTAAAGTTAGTATTGTAGTGTTTACAGCCATTCTAGTTGTCATCGTATGTACCATAGTAGCTTTCTGCTGAGGCACGTGCCTGGGCAAGGAGCCGGCAAAATCGAGTTCGAGTCCGCGCCTCATCGGCTCTTCTGGGTAGGAAGGGTTTCTATTTCAGAATAGGACGTGAGGGCGGTGTGCGTTTGTGAGAGTCGTGTTTGGGAGGAGGTTTGGTATTCTTTTGTTCTGCCGAATTGTGGGAAAAAGGGTCACCTTACTCTGCAGGCAGGAACGATTTCCATTTCTCCCAGTGGGCCCTTTTTCCTTTTTGGTTTCGGGTTCTCCATGTTAAAACCGAATAGTAGGAACAAGTGTGCCCATAGTTTTTAAAGGGGCGCTGGGGACCCAGGATTTCTAGGAAGTGAAACCCTAAACCCTAAACCCTAAACCACTTTTTTTTTGCACAGCGGGGGATCCAAGGCTTGGCCGATTTAGATCCTAAGTCCATCGTTTGGTCTCTTCCCTGATAATGGCACTTTTCGGCGCTCGAGTTCCCAGATTCAGCTCACGGGCTTGAGGATCTTTCAGGCCCAAAAGGTCCAAGTATCATTATGGTATATACTTAGACCCCCAAATCCCCTAGAAGTATATAACATACCATAACGATACTTGGACCATTTGAGAGGGAGTACGAGCTGTCCGCTTTGAGGCCTTTTGCCCGAGACGTAGGTTTCGTTCACTTGGAGGGTCGGGGGACTTAGTAAGTAGTTATTTTAGGGACTTATAAGTATCATAAACCCAGTTAAGGCCCCTGGAAAGGTACTTATAAGTCATTATAAGTCTACTTACTACCTACTTACTTAGTCTCCCGACCCTCCAAGCAGTGTTTTTTGTTTAACCTGCGTCGGCTCGGCCTCTCCATCGATGCCAGCAAAGCCTTGTGTCGGAAAGACACATGTTTGCCACTGCGTAGGTTTCCTTTCGTACAATCTTAGATTGTGTGATAGAACTAAGCCTTAGAAGTCGTATGGGCCCTTGTTGTTCTGTTCGGTTTACGATCTTGCTGGCATCCTGAAAAGCCCCAGCCTTCAACGCTGCAGATCCATGAATCTTAGAAGGCCTGGTACAACACCGTGAACCAGCTTTCCAAGCAAAACAGAAATTCTCAAAATCCTGATTTAAATAAATGCCTTCAAACACGAAGTGTCTGATTGAAGACATGAAACACAGCAAAACGCCTGAACTCTATCAAATCCGGAAAGACCTGGACATTCGCCCCAGAAGACATAGTGCCAAAGACCACACCACCGCAGGATGTCTTCGAGCGAGTGGCTCCAGGGCGATGGTCTCAGGAATCTGAAAAATCAGCGTCTGTGTGTATGTATGTCAGTGTATACATATCCGTGGTTGTCAAAATTATGGTCCCTTTTGCGGTCCCTAATGTAGTACGGCAATTAATATTAAGGGTACCCAAAAAGGGACCCTAATTTTGACAACCACCCATATAATCAAGACTCCTAGTCCCCAAGCCCGACAGCAGCTGAGCTAGCAAGAGCGGAGCCGCAGGGACACCTCGAGCAACTTTTGTTTGTTTGTCCGCTTTAAAATCGGGCGCATTTTCCACAGCATCCCGGAACATGTCACCTCCCTACCCAAGACCGATAAGGATACCGCTGATGGACAAAATCCTGCATTACCCATTATAAGGAATATGTCATAGTTCCCACAGCTTAGAGTCCTTAGGGTCATGCAGCATTTTGTCCATCAACAGTAAGTCCACCCCTCACCCATATAGTTTTTCGAAACCCTAGAAGACCAGCCTCGAGGCTACGAAGGTTATGCGTCGCCAGATTTCTGGCTGCATCTCGGCTGTGATTCGTTTGTGGTCAAAATCTAGATTCTAGGTAAGGGTTTCCAGAATCGGGGGTTGGGGTAGCTTATAGGGGTTCTACTTGGGTAATTTTACGCTATAGACCAGGGGTTCCTTTGGATTTAGGGGAGTTTTATAGAAGTGCTGAATCCGAATGCAAGGGATTTCTGGTCCATGCTTGTTTTGTTGGGAAGTGGCCTCTGAGCATTCGGTCTCTGAGCATCCCAAAGTCGACGTAGTATCTAGGATGGGTTTAGGTTTAGGGCGCAGTGTTTAAAGGGTTTCTGGTTGTCCTACTATTTGGGCACTTGGACTCCTCGGGGCTTCTATAAACCCCCAACCAGATGGTCATGATGTGTGCACCTTTGTTTGCATCCTGCAATGTTGTCAGTGTGTAGGTGTAGATGCTTCGAACAAGTTCCAGAGGCTGCGACAGAATTGGTAAGTCTTTCGTTGTGTAGACCGCCAACTCCCAACCCCTAAATCCTAGAAGCCCTAAATGCGAAACCCTGTATACTAAACTTCACACCCGAAGTCCTGAACGCGAGATCCTGAATGATAGCAACATCTGACAACTAAACTCCATAGAGTTACCTTTGCAGCCTTCCAGACACCTTCTCCGAAGGCCGTGTGAGCGAGCGCAGTTGCTGCACGGCTGCCTGGAGCAGGCCTTCAACCCTGAACCCTGTTGTATTTGGGGCTTTGTAAGGTTTAGAATAGTACCCATAGGCTCCATAGTTGTTGTTCCTGTTTGGGATTGCCTTTTAGGATCCTAAATATGAACCACAAACAGTAACGACAATGGAGCATATGGGTCATTAGTAAAGTCCTTTGCCAGCCTTGCGGGGAGGCGTGGCTTATGAGCTTTTGTGTCTTGCTTTTCGGGTTCTTAAAGGGTTTCTCTCAGGGCTACTACTAGGATGGTTCATGGTTCTAGAAGGATGCGTTTCACAGACAGCTTGAAACTTAAAGCTCAAATACTGCACTCCCAACTCCAAGTTCATGCCCCCAGCCCTGAAATTGTAAACCTTGCACCTCCAATTCGTGAAATCCTGCATCTTGAGCCCCCGAAACACAAGTGCCGTAGCCGACAGAGGTTTCTGAAGCCTGAACCCTGCAACTCCTGAAACTTTAGATCACCAAGATTTTACGAATAGCCTTCCCTAAGTTAAGACGACACAGAAAGAGGTTCGGTAGCCCAACATAATCCCCATAAAGAACTCCTGATTGTTGATCGCTATAAGCATAAGCACCGTATAAAAGCCGAAGCAAAAAGTCCGGAACCTTATAGGTACACTGAAAGATTGGATTATGGGATATCCGTACCTTGCGGTCTTTACTTAGGTGTTTTTTGCCTAGAAAGTCCTTTGGGACTTTGTAAGTAGGAAATATGTAGATTTGTAAGTGCCCTAAGATGGAAGGCTATTTGGGTTATCATACCTGTAAGACAAAATGTCTACTTATACTAAGTCCACCAACACTCCTTGTAATAGATCCCTTTAAGGAACCCTGAAGCAGCACCCTTATAGATCCCTTTGAGGAGACCTGTAACGAATCCTTTGACCCTCCAAGAGGTCCCTGCAGATGTCGACGAGCTCAAGGCCCTGCAGGCACCGCAGGGTCTCAGGAGGACCCTAAACCCTAAACCCTAAACCCTACACCCTAAATAATAGGAGGACAACCTTGTTAATCTACAGTAGAAGCCAGAAAGTTGGAATATCATTATCGTATCCCCTTGAAGGTAAATTATAGGGGATCCTACCATGAATCCATATTCCAACTTTCTGGAGTTCCCTTTATAGGAGCCTCAATAAATACCAATACTAGTTCTAGGGCTCCTTATTAGTCTTACATACCCCCCCAAAACCCTATTGTTCGACTTTGAGGGTTTAGGTATGTTGTTGTTTCCAGGGTTTCTTTGGCTTTAGGGAGTTGTATCGATTTGTTGTTGAGAATACATGTAAGAAGCTTGTGAGTTCAGGTGTTAGGTAAGATGTCCGTAAACAATGCTTGGTTTATGGCTCTGGGCTTGTGATCGTGGCAGCAGCTGAAATGGTAGAGAGCTTGGGTTTGGAGTTGCTCTCAGTTACGGTGTTCTGCTATTTATGAAGATGATAGGGCCGGCGCTTTTTTGGGGGGATGATGTTCTGAGACACCCAGGAAGAAAGAGTTCTAGGGCTTCCAGGGGCTATCAATGACAGGTGTATATGCATGTATGTACATCTATGCCTCCCTGCCTACATAACTATCTACCTGGCTATCTACCTTTCTGCGTGTTTGTCTACGTCTCTGTCTACCTGCCTATCTATCTATGTATCGTTCTATCTATCTACGTACGTATCAATCTAGGCGATCTATCTAAAACTCACTATCTCCGACTCTATCTATCCGTCTTTCTTCATCTGATCTATTAACTGGAACTTCATAGTCTTCAGGGCTATACAAATCAATTAATATACATACATATGTATATATATATATATACATCTGTCGATCTACGCGCTTGTCCATCCATCCATCCATCCATCCATCCATCCATCCATCCATCCATCCATCCACCCATCGATCCATCGATCCATCGATCCATCTATCCATCCATACAAGCATCCATCCATTCATCCATCCCTTCATCCCTCCATCTATCATCCCTCCATCCCTCGATGCCTCCATCTGTCCATCTACCTACCTAACAGCATCTATCTATATGTCGTTCTATCTTTTCCTTCGATCTACCTATCTACCTATGTATCGTTCTACCTATCTATCAACCTAACATTGTTTCAACCGGTCCAACCCATCTATCGATCTATATAACTGTCTATCTGTCTACCTGCCTGTCTGTCTATCGAACTATCTTCTTCTCCAGCTATCTAGGTATCTACCTATCAATCTAACCATGATCTCGCGTGTCTACCTGTTTGAGCTAATCTATCAAATTTTTGCAATCTGTCTACGTAATATGGGCAGCCTATCAAATCAATCTAACCTATCTGTTAAATTCTAGCTGTTCTGTTACAATCTATCTTGTCTTTCAACATAACTATTCTGTCACATCTAAACTTTCGAACCCACTTTGTGAATGTTTTCATTTCGCTAACCTATCTGATCTAATCTATCCATGTATTTGTCTGTCTATCTAATTATCTCTCCATTTATCTATCTGCCTAGGCAGTAAAACTGACTAGCAGCCCTGGAACCGATAGACCGTAAACCACAAACCCTGATGCAGGCAGTTGTTCTTGTTGCTTGAACCACCTCTGGCTCTGTCAGGTGCGCCATCCGACCGCCCTTTCTGTGACACCCAATCTGCTGCCAGCCATGACCATCGCCGGGCTGATGGCATCTTTTATGCACTTTGGCGTATGTGGGACGAGGTGGGCACCATGTCCCTGCGCGCTATACTTCCATAGCCCTGTATTCCCAATTGTACATGCGAAGTACAGGATGTCACATTATGTGCTAACCCTTAATGGCTAATGCGAAACATGCCAAGCTATTTGTTTCCATACCCCAGCCCGCAAGCTGGGCTAGAGCGCTAAGGCTGCAGTGGGTAATACAGGGGTCCCTGCTACGCCCTGTATAGCTATATATCATACACTCCAAAACCCGGTTCCTGTTATAAATGTTCCAACACGAGATGACTTGGAGAGCTCTGGCATTGAACTTTGACACGAGTCTCCTCAGTGCTGGCCTTCCTCTTGGCGTTTTGAGCCTTGCAAGCCCAAGCTGTGAATTTTAAGGCCAAGAAACGCAATGGGCCGGACAGTATTAAAACGGATTAAAGTTAGACGCCTTCAGATGTGAACCGGTGCCACCGGGAGAGAAAGCAAAGATTCAAGAGAGCCCCTCGCACTCAAGACCAACGTGATGAGGTATCAGAAGCATGCAAAAACCATTCAAAGCCACCGACCCAAACTCAAAACCCCTAAACCATAAGCCTGAAGCGTTGAACCCTCAACCCTAAACCCTAAACCCTAAACCCTAGAGCCCTAACTCCTAACCTAAACCCACTCACCTCTATCGTTTGAACCGAGACTCCGAGGAAAGCGTCGTCCCCATGGACGACGACCTCTGCTCGGAGAGGAGGGCACTCTGGAAGGCCCATAGCTTTCTACTATTTGCTTAAGAAACACCAAAAAATGAAAAATAACAATCCCTATATTACCCCCATAAGGAATTTATTTTTTATTTTTTGGGGGTTCTTAAGCAAAAAGTAGCTTTTTGCCTGGGGTCCGATATGGGGGCCTTGAGGAATTACAAGTATTATTCTCGAGGGTTCCTGGTTTTAAGTTGGTAGCATACGGCTCATTTCAAGAATTGCAGGCAGTTCTCGTTAAGGTTCTTGACTATAACTCCTACTCTATTATGCCTCAAGAACTACACATATTTTTATTTGTGACTTTAGTTTTCCTGATTCTAAAAATTTTATTAGACTTTGCTCGGGCTAGATGATCTTAGGGCTTGGATGTTCGGATTCCGTATGTTTCTTGTGGACGGTGACTGTAGACCCCATGTGAGCCCTGAACTCCAGAAGCCGCAATCTTGGCCCGTCACCTTGGCAGCTAAAATACAAGCCTGAACAAAAAAGCAAGCGTCAACTTCTGTATTCCCTCGGGATCCGCATTATAACAAAAGTGCATACCCCAGCACCCTTTTCTAATTATGAAGGCCCGTGTTCCATGCCTTTCACCCTGAACCTTACATCCAAGGGTAAAAGGAGGGACCCTTACATTACATACCCATTCTATAGCCCATTACAGGGTAGGGGTCCTCATTAAGGGTCCCTCCTTTTCCCCTAAACCCCCTAAACCCCCAAACCCTAAACCCTAAACCCTATACCCTTCTAGAATCCCTATAGATCCCTTTAAACGGACCCCTTAAAGGGTCCCTCCTTTTCCCCTTTGATTACACCTGAACCCCCAAGCTGACCAAAGACTCAGTCCCCACCATCACACGGGCCTAACCCTCGGCTATGCCCCCGGCTTTGGACCGTGGGCCTTGTGAACCTAAGAGCACAGGGTAGCTAAGGGGATTTCGCACAAAGTTTCTTTAGTTAAGTTTCTGCAGCTTTGGGCTCCGGTGTATGGCTACTACCCTGTCAGAGCTTACCATCAGGCGTGGCTCAAGTTCCTTTCGCAGAACGACATAGACCATCGTGGCTAATAAGAGCCCGAAAGCCCCTGGGGCACCTCAAGTGCTAGACCGAAGATGGATGAGACGAGGGGTCTCTGTCATGAATGCTAAGGAATCATCCGAAAATTCTTTCCAAAAGCACAATAAAGGCTTCCCGAGAGCACTGGGCTGTGAGCTGCATCCACACCCCATACACCTTAAACCCTGAGCACACAACATCAGCAGAAACAACCCGTACTCAAAGTCTCGCGCATCCTGAAACACAGCCGACGTCTTACAGAACGTGAGCGCTGGCTAGTCCTACACAGCGCTACCCTAAACCCTACCCCTAGCCACATATACCATGTACTCTGCACACCTATACCCCTACAAAACCTAAACCCCTATACCCAAAACCATGCTGGAGCTCCGACCCCTTCTGCGGGGTGCCGGCGGCGTGCGCCGTGCAATCTGTCCCAGATGGACCGCTCGACGGAGCAGCAGCTGCTTGGATTCGGGTCTAAGATGGTCTAAGGTTGCTTCCAGGACTTATGGGTCTGTTTAGGGAATTCATAGGGTTCTGTAAGGGTTTGATATAGGGGCTTTCATATCGGGGTAGAGTTTTAGGCGGCATGGTGCTATTCGTTTCGGATAGTAGGTCTTGCGGAACCTCAAGGTGGTAAACCGGGGGGGGGGGGATGGGATGAATACTATACTTGATTTGTTTTGAGCGTTCATTGTTATTCCTAATATCATTCTTATGATTGGTACTATGATTGGTAATATCAGTAGCAGCAGTAGGTTTCATTATTGTTAGATTTACTATTACTGTGGTCAGCATTGTTCCTCGACTAGGTTACTTCGCCCCTACAAGTCCTGATGATTGGGAACTTTGGGAGTAGGCTTGAGCTGTTGCTTCCGCTGCGTTTCGGCTGGCGGGGCTCTGAGTGGTTTCGGTCGTTGTCCCGAAATTCAGAACCTCTCGACAGAATCAGAACGAGAACTACGAGAACTGGTCTGGGTTTCAGGGTTTTGGTCTAGGGTTTAGGGTGGTGGGGGGGGGTAAAGCATCAGGTCATCAGAGATGTAAGCCGACCAACTGGCTCGTGGCAATTGCAGTTCCGGGTCTGTTGTCCTCTTCTACCCCAAGACTCCCGAAACCTGAACCCCTGAACGTCGCAAGGGAAGTTAGAGCATGAGCATCCTCATCCCCTCAGAGTTTTGTCGAAAGAATCCCATCAATAATCATGTTAAATCCATGTTCCCGCTCGAAAGCAATTCGAAACTACATGACTGCATAGTATATCTGGGACCCAGAACCCTATACTATTATGTTGCTTGCACCGTTAAGGTACTTTGCGCCAAGGCTTTTAACAGCCCTGACAAGATTCTGGATAAAGGTGCAATTCCCACGGAAAACCACTAAACAGCCTATCATACCGTCGTATAAGCCCTTAACCGCCTTAACCCTAAACCCTTCTGAGGCAGCGTGAGCATCTCGTCAAGTCGGCTAGAGAAGCTTCTATGGCTGCAGAAGAGATGCTACTGTAAAGGGACCTATAAGGGTCCTTAATGGTTAGAACAGGGTTCCTTTAAAGCGTCCTGTATAGGGGTTTATTCTAAGGGATGCTGTAAGGGTGCTATAGTATAAGGATCCTAAGTAGTTGGAATAGGGTTTTGGGGAGTATGCTATGCTGCTTCGGGTTTCGAGTTGTCAGGATTTTCGAGTTTGGGGTCAGGTTCAAGTTTGGGGTTATATGTTGCAGGGTTCGAGGCTTAGGGTTAGTTAGGGTTACCGCCATTACTTAACTTATTCAACCTTAATTACCGTTACTAGGGGTAGGTTCGATTTTTGTTGCACGAGTTCTTGTTCAAGGTTTTGGATGCAGAGGCCATGAGCTTTAGTGGAGGGTGTTTGCGTTGCAGCAAGTGTCGTTGGGGGCCTAAGTCATGAAGTAGGTTGTGCCTGGCAGGGTTTGTCGTGGGGCTTGTGAACGGCCCGTTCTTGGTTGGCACCGTTGCACACCAGCTCCCCCGTTCTCGAAAATATTCAGAGGATGCAGGCTAGAAGATAGGCACCTGAAGAAATAAATACAAGTGACAGTTAGTGCACCTTAGTATCCCGTTCTGTTCCACGTCCCTTCAGAACTATATAATGCAGCAATTCTGTTTGATCATACAGGCTCCTGCAAAAGCCCAGCTGCTGTGGGAGCCCGGCACCGTATATCTTTTGCAACTGCAAACTCTAGAGCCCCAAGTTTTGTACACCGCCATGTTACGCCTCAAGTACCCATGTTCCTAAATCATCCGGCAAAAGCTGTGGACGCAAAGCCCTCCAACATTGACACGGAAGCATATGTAGCGCTAACCCTAACCACAAAGCCCTGAACCTGCGGTCACGCAGCCAGTGCACTAGTGCAAACCGTGATCCCAGACCCAGGTTCATGCAAGCGGAAATCGATTACTTCGCACAGAAGGCCCCACAACCGGCAGCCCGACTGCGATAGTTTAGGGTTTGTTTAGGGTTTAATTAGGGTTCAAGGTGTAGAGTTTAGGGATGTGAACTCCTTTTTCCTTGTTGGTTTGGCAGTTGCTCTTGAGCCCACTGTGAGGCTCTGCGGTTTGGTTCTCCGGTCCAATGTCATCCACATGTATGTGTGTATATATATATATATATATATATATATATTATATATGTATATGTAGATGTAAACCATAAGAAATATATGTACATATATATATATATATGTATATAAATAGATATATATATATATATATATATATATATCTATGTATATATATATACACAGCGAGGAGAGGGAGAGCGAGAGAGAGAGATATAGATATACATGTATAGGGGCGACTCTCGGACTTGGGGTTGCTTTCAGCGTCCAGACGCCTGAGACGTAAACTTCACAAAAGTTTACGGAGAGGTTGGTGTTTAAAGTTTAGTGTTTAGTGTTTTTTGGATTAATCTAGGACTCCAAGGTGAAAGGTTCAAAGTGACTAGAGGTACTTTCCGGGTTTATAAACCCATGCTTTAGCTGTAGTCTCCATTGTAATTCCTTTTTTTCTGGTAATTAGACTGTCCGTTTTTTGTATTTACGACCCCGAAAAGGTAACCACAAAAAGGTGTAGAATCAGTGAGGAAGGCTAGTTAGGCTAGTTCCTCTTAGGCGGCTACAATACATCTCCGAAACCCGCTGCCCATACCTACAGCTTCGAAATCTCAGCCCACCTGACCTGGATTGTGTCTGCGCATCCTTCAGCAAAAGCCCAGTACGGCCAGTTGCAGTTAGGTTCCTTCGAGACAAAACGCTATGAAGAAGGCCCAAAAGCCACATGTAAGCCCTAACCTTAAAACCTCTAACCCCCTGAGCCCTAAAGCACCAAATCGTCACGCATTCTTGACCCTAAACCAAAACCCAGAGGGTCCGAGTTCCCAAGCAGTACCGCTTTAGGTTCCAATATCCATACTCTGAATGGTATTCGGACCTTGAGCACTTGTATCCTTGGGGAAACCCTGAAACCACGCAACCCTAAAGCCCAGGTGCGACTCGACCAGATTATCAAGGCCTCCACACCACAGGAGGTGGCGACTCTTGCCGGCACACTGCTGTCCTTCAAGGCCTTCACCTAGTAGTAGAGTACATAACTTTTAACCTTCTTGGGGTACAATAAAGATATATATATATATATATATATAGATATAGATATTCATATATACATATATATATATATATTCACGAAGGTTTGGTGTCCTTCAAGGCCTTCAATCGAAAGTTAGAAATACGGGCCCCGAATATGGACCTTTAGACCGCTCGAGGGGATTCAATGGACCCTGAAGAGTATATTTAGGTTATGTAATAATATACAGGAGCCTCAGCGATTGTATTGATAGGTATTCACTGATGTCCGTCATGGCCTTAAAACATTGACGATTTAGGCCTGAGGTTGTTTTTGCCAGATTAGGGTTTAGAGCATGTT